TATATTATCTTTGTAATTCAATAACAAATCCAGAATAAATATGTGCAGAAAGCCGTGCACAGTGGCTCACGCCTGTAATCTTAGCCCTTTGGGAGGCCGAGGTGGGCGGATCACCTGAGGTCAGGGGTTTGTGGCCAGCCTGGCCAACATGACAAAACCCTATCTCTACTAAAAATACAAAAATTAGCTGGACGTGGTGGCTCATGCCTGTAATCCCAGCTATCGGGAGACTGAGGCAGGAGAATCGCTTGAACCTGGGAGGCGGAGGTTGCAGTGAGCTGAGATCGCGCCATTGCACTCCAGCCTGAGCAACAAAGTGAGACTCTCTCTCAAAAAAAAAAAAAAAAGTACCAAAGAAATTATTGGTGAAAACTTGCTGTGTTGAACACATGAGAGAGTCCTAAGGAATCTATATTTCTGAATGTATACAACATATATCTGTGAAATATGGTTGAAAATACAACCATATTTTCTAAGTCCTTGTCCTCTTGAGGTGGCATTACTTATGATTTTGCTATGCTTCTTTAGAAATGGATGTTTTACCTGAACGCATTATTTAGAAATACATCTGATTTGTGAAATCCCAAAAGATGCTACTCTCTAAAATACAATCAGTATTTCAAAGAATATTTAATGAAGTTTGGTAAGTACTCTAGCTACAATATGTACAGAAAATGTATTTGAACACTAAAGGTACAAAGGAATTTGAATATGATTTTTAATGTTATTATATGTACATAAGTAGGAAATGAGAATGAAATTTTATTTATTTATTTATTATTTATTTATTTATTTATTTATTTTTGAGACGGAGTCTTGCTCTGTTGCCCAGGCTGGAGTGCAGTGGCACAATCTTGGCTCACTGCAACGTCTGCCTCCCGAATTCAAGGGATTCTCCTGCCTCACCCTTCTGAGTATCTGGGATTACAGGCATGTGCCACCACGCCCGGCTAATTTTTGAATTTTTAGTAGAGACGGGGTTTCACCATGTTGGTGAGGCTGGTCTTCAACTCCTGACCTCGTGATCTGCCCACTTCAGCCTCCCAAAGTGCTGGGATTACAGGCGTGAGTACCGTGCCCGGCCTCATTTATTTATTTTGGAGACAGAGTCCCACTCTCTCGCCGGAGTCGGCTGGAGTGCCATGGCATGATCTTGGCTCAGTGAAGTCTCGACCTCCCTGGGCTCAGGGGATCCTCCCACCTCAGTTTCCCAAGTAGCTGGGACTACAAACACACTCCACCTTGCCAGGATAATTTTTGTACTTTTTGGAGAGACAGGTTTCACCATGTTGCCCAGGCTGGGAGAATGACATTTTAAAAGTCTTTTTCTTGTAGGGATTGAACTATCATTTATTTTTGGCTTCATGATTTTTCAATATCTGAACAGTTTGCCAACAGCAACTATTGCTTTTTAAATTTTCTAGATAACAAGGCTCTTTCCAGGGTAGAATAAAGAGATTTCAAGTTCTCTAAGTACCTATATGTATATGGGAACATGTAAATTGTATGAGATAATGATGATGGTTCTGTTCAAAACTACCTTCGGTATTCATTCAATTATGTTTAAAGATAAATAAGCATACACATTAGTATACAGTCATGCCCTGTATAACGATCTTTAGGTCAATGACTGACTGCATATATGATGGTTATGCCATAATATTATAATATCGTATTTTTAATTGTACCTGTTGTTTAGATACACAAATACTTACCATGGTTACTATTGCCTACAGTATTCAGTATAACAACATGCTATACCACTTTGTAACCTAGGAGCAATGGGCTATATTACGCAACCTAGGAGTATAGTAGTCTATACTATCTAGATTTGTGTAAGTACACTACGATGTTTGCACAATGATGAAATCACCTAACAACGCACTTCTCGGAATGTATCCCTGTCATTAAATGAGGTATGACTCCTTATCCATCTATATGTGTACTTATGTTTAAAAAGTATATATATTTTTTGAGATGGAGTCTCACTCTGTCTCCAGGGCTGGAGTGAAGTGGTGCGATCTTGGCTCACTGTAACCTCTGCCTCCCAGGTTCAAACAATTCTCTTGCCTCAGTCTCCCTAAAAAGTGTATATTTTAAATCATGATTGTTGTAGTAACAATGCACTTAAATTTCACTCTGTCTGTATATTCATGTGTATTTGTATGTGTATGTATATGTGTACATGTATATATGTATACACATAGAAACTTTGATATTTAGCTTCATATATAAGTTTACATTAATATGGGATTTATTCATATATCATGATTCAGATCATATTTTCACTTCTGTTTTCTTGGCAATTTGCCATTATGAAAAATTTGCAAGACTTAATTTTTAGGAAATAAATACATATAAAGGGAAACATTAAGAAAAGATTATAGATGAATATAAAAATATGCTAATGCATTCACCTTGAACCTTTGAGAGGAGGACACAGACTTTATTTATACAGTAATGCAATCTGTTGTTAATTTTTTTTAGTAGTAAAATAAGATTAGGCCAGGTGCCGTGGTTCATGCCTATAATCCCAGCACTCTGGGAGGCTGGAGTAGGAAGATTAATTGAGCCTACAAGTTAGAGATCAGTCTGGGCAACATAAGGAGACCCCTTCTCTACAACAAAATATAAAAAAGGAAAAATTAGCTGGGTGCCGTGGTGTGTGCCTGTGGTCCCAGCTACTCCAGAGGCTGAGGTGGGAGGATTGCTTGAGCCTGGAGGTCAAGGCTACAGTGAGCCATGATTGCATAGACTTGCCAGACCCAGTCTCTAAAAATAATAATAAAGAAATAAAATAAGATGAAATTTTAGATTTACTTGTAGGTTAAAATTTTGAGAAGGAAGGAATACCCTGTATTTTCTGATGCACGCATGTTATACTTGTGATTCAATATTTGTTTTAGAGTATATACATGTCAGCATAATAAAGATTAGAAGCTCTTCAAATCATGATACCTGAGAGGAGACATCATAGGAATTAAATTTCCAATTGTTAAATAAGTGTTTTATGAAGTGAACATGTTTTCAGAGACCATATTGTTTTTGAATGTGGCAATCAAGAAGCTCTTGGTCAATGTTTCATTTAATATAAATATAGGTGTTGCAAATTTTTTATGATAGTGACAAACTGCCCAGGAAACAAAAATGAAAATATACTCCAAACCGTAACATATAAACAAACCTCATTTTAATGTAAACTTACTATTGTGTATGACACGAAATCTAAATGTTTGTGTGTATATATTGAAATTAGTGCGTGAGTATGTGAGTTTGCATGTTTATGTTGAAACTATGAAAGGAAAATAAATCTCAGGACCCCAAAATCACTAAGCCAAAGGGAAAAGTCAAGATGGGAACTGCGTCAGGCAAACCTGCCTCCCATTTTATTCCTAAAGAAGATGACTACAATGATTGGACAAAACAAAAACATAAAATGCCATATCTCCCTCACAATTTGCCCATCAGGCAATTCCTTGTGAGCCTCAAGATTTTTACCGTAAAACCGTTCTGTTGAATTTCACCCTGACAATGTAAATGTTGGCTTATCCTCACAGGTATGGAACAAAGGACAGAACTCAAAATCTTCCCTCTGCCCACTTGAGACAAATACGTATCTGATTGCTTCCTCTGCCCTGTGTTTATTTTATCCTACATAAAAAATGCAGATTCACTGAGCTAGATGAATGTGTACGTGACTATTCCTCTACCCTCATCTCACTTACGAAGGGCTGATCAAAGACTCAAAAGAATGCTACCCTGTGCCTCTTATCTACCCGCACCTTTTCAAAATTTCTTCCCCTTTTCTCCGTATTTGCCCTTTCCCCTTTAAATACTGAAGCCCTCAAAATCATCTTTGAAGAAACATGGACCTACCTCCCAGGCATGCATGTGCTTAAACTGGCAAAATAAATTTCTAAAACTGTTGAGACCTGTCTCAGATATTTTTTAGTTTACAAAACATAATCCAGATGTTTATCAGTATTTCTAATAGGTACTGTTTATGACAGTGCTTTACTCTTGGTCAGCACATGGTTCTTTTCTGAATCCTTTGCAAATCCTTTGCAAGCACCACATCTTAATTACTTAAGATAAAATACTATAAGATTGACCCCTAAGTGATAAGCACATACACACTAAAGTCACAGGAAACCATTGACAGTCATATAATAACATAGGAACATGCCTGTGTTCCGATCTTAAATTATTTTGACCATGAGATTGTATCAGTCTCCTCTGACTGGAATTTATATATATTTGAGTTTGTGTATCCCTCCAAATGGGCACTGCATAGCACACAGTCTTGAGAATCATCTGGACGCTTACCTTAGGGTTCCAGACAACTGCTTCTCCCTCAACACACAGGCCTAGTGCCTAGGCCAGAAATGGAGTAGGACTCCCAGGAAACCTGGGAAGTGAGTCAGGAAAGAACAACATGTACAGGTGCCTGGATTTGGTCTTCTCCAAGCCCTTAGATGCAACCATTTGCTTTTCCCTCTAGGCCTGGATCCCTGAGGTTTGACCCCTGATACACCAAGATAATTTAGTACCATGAGAAAAAGCTAGGTGAAGAAAAAGCAGAACTGTGAAGACTAGGTAAGTGGAAATTGAGTTCTTGAACTGAAAAGACCCCTGATGAGAATGTAGGTTTAGGCGCCAGTTTGATTTCAGATGAAAACCAAAAGCAGAATCACAATACTGTGAGCAAGTTTCTCAAGTCAGCCATATTTCCTGGTGCCTTAGTATGTTGGTCACATCTTTTTTTCACACCGGACGGGCGGGAGAAGAGGGCTTGGGGCAGTGTTGGATGGAATTCCAGGAGCAACACTGCCATCGTGAGGAAATTTTTGGAAAAAGCCCCATCCCTTAGAGGACTTAAATTGGAAAGGTCCATTCTGTCAGAGGCTGAGCAGGCTCGGACCGTGAGCTGGATCTTAGTTCCACCTCCTGAGGCCTACCTGAAGCTCTGGACAGACTGAGGTCCAGGTGTAGGAAATGGCCCGCGGGGAGGGAAGACTAAGTCTGTCTCTGCCAGGAAGTCCAGGCCCAGGAAGTTGTAGGGTGGAGTCTTGGTATTCTCCCAGTATGGGCGGGACTGGAGGAAGCCACCAACCAACGAAGTACTGGGCTTGTGGGTATTTGTCTCTCTCCCCGCCCCTGAGAGTCTGGGAAAGGCCGACACGTGGTGCCTTCAGGCTCTGGGGCCTAGGACCTTTGTGGTAGCAGAGTCAGTGCAGAGAACCAGAAAATACCAGGTTGCTTATAGAAGGATGCCATGTGCTTGCTGGAGGTCTCAGGTGCAACCAAATTGCTTGCAGCTAGGAGGACCTTGAAGAGAAATGGAACCAGCCCGCCAAACCAAGAAGGGTTAGCACTTTTGCTAGGAGAGCTGACCACGCACAAACAGATGAGAACCAAAATCGAGTGAAGAGGATTGAAGATGAACCCACATTTTAAAAGTTCTTATCTGCTGGAGGTGGCATTACCTGCGACTTCGCTTCACTTCTCCATACATGGCTGTTATAGCAGGTACATTGTAAAGGAGCATGATTGTTTCTAGAAATGCAAAAACAGGTGGCAAGATTTTAAAACCTGTCATTATTCTGAAGAATACTTAATGAGATTTGAAAAGCATTCAAGTTACAAATGAGGAAAACTTGTTTTAGCATTCAAAGTACAAGAGAATTTGAACATATTCTTAAAGTATATACTATTTGTGCAAAGTGAAGATATAAGAATGTATGGCGAGGATATTTTTAAGTGGCTATTTATTGTTGTGATTGAAGTACCATTTACTTTCTATTTTATAATTTCTTAAAATCTAAACGGTGCCAGCAGTGGGTGTAACTTTTGTAATTTCTTGAAATAGAAAGGTCTTCTAGAGTAAGATAGAAAAAAAATCCAAGCACTCAAAAATATACATTGTTATTCATGTATGCAAATGGTATAAGGTAGTGTTGAAGACTTTGTGCAAAACTATATCCAGTTTGCATTCAATTATCTTTAAAGAGAAGAATAGTCCATGCTCCCAGGGGTTGAATAAAAATAAATAAATAAAGAGAAGTAAATATATATATATATATATAATAGGTGCAACCATTTTTTTTCTCTCTAGGCCTGTAACTAGGTAACTTGGACCTATCTATCTAATGCATATACATATATATGCATAATGCATATACATATATATGCATTATGCATATATATGTATAATCATGGTCAGTGTTAGAGTGAGTATGCGTTTCAACTTTACAGATTTTACATAAAATTTTAAGATAAAATTTTGGTATAAGTTTTGAAAAATATAAACAAAAGAAACCCTAATGTTCTGAGGCATAAGCACGTAGTGCCTCTTCCAATGTTAGTGTGTGTATATATATATACACACACATTTATAGTCAGCATAGTAATGATTAGGTGAAGCAGGTATCAAAATTAAGATACTTGAGTGGTGGTATTATAGGTATTACGTCCTGTGTATAAATTTTTTAAAAATTGAGAAGCTAATATTCTTTAATGAATTAGTCAATCAAGAAGCTCATTGCAAATGTTTTATTATCTAAAATCCAGGTCTTGCAAATATTTCATGACAATTTCAGTTACCCAGGAACCAACAGTGAAAAGTTTGCATCTAAAACATGATGCATATATAAATTTAATTTAAATATAAGTTTATTGTAGTGTATTACCATAAATACAGACCTGTGTGTGTGTTGAAATAATGGGAGTAAATATGCAAAAGGCTATTAGTGTTTAACACAAGATTTTATGACAGTGCTTTTGTTCTTGATCAGCACATAGTTATTTTCTAAATTCTTTACAAGCACCATGTCTTAATTACTTATGAGAAAACACCGTAAGACTGATTCCTAAGGCTTAAGCGGTGGCACACACATACATAATAAAGTCATAGGAAGCCATTAAAAGTCAAATAATGATGTGCGTGGGAACTTGCTTGTGTTCTAATGTTGAATGATGGAACCGTAAGACAAAATCATGTTCCTTTCTACTGGAATTTTGTAAGTTTGGAGTGTGTGTGTCACCCCAAGAGGGACATTGTATGGAATTCAGCCTTAAGATCTATCTGGACCCTCCTATTAGGGTTCTAACATGGCTGCTCCCAACTCAATACACAAGACCTAGTGCCCAGGTCAGAAAATGGAGGACTCACAGGGAACCTGCCAGTGAAACAAGTCACATGGCCTGGTGCCTAGATTTGCTCTTCTCCAGGCTGTTATTTCCATTATTTTCTTCACTTTCTTAGCCCTAGGTCCCTAAGGAATTTCCCACTGAAGCAGATAACTTGGGAAAATGTTGGGGATCAAGGTTGAATGAAGAAGAGCAGACCTACAAAGCTAAGGTAGAGTGGAAATGGGATTCTTTACACAAAGTATGGCTGATGAAACTGGGTGGTATAGGCTTCAGTCTGAGTTTAGAGGGAAACCAGGAGCAAAAGTGAATTCGAATGAGCAGATTTCCCCCAGACAGGGCCAATAGCAAGGCAACTTTGTTTCCTGTCTCCTTTGTCTTGGTGGCTTTTTCAGACTGAATGGGTGAGAAGAGAAGGGCGTTGGGGGTGGGGTGTGCAGGCAGGGCTAATCAGCTTTTCCAGAGCAATACTGCCATCAAGAGGATGTAGTTTGACAAAACATAAACCCAAAGTTGTTAGAGTTCCCCCAAGTTTTAGCAGCTGAGAAATGTTGGGCCTTTTGTGAGGTTGAGCGGACCCTAGCCCTAAGTACGTCCCCTTCACTTTAAATCTGAAGGCTTCCAGGAGCTCTGGACAAAGACAGGATCCCGGGGGAGAAGCTGATAAGTGGAGGGTCAGGGGAAGGACTGAGGGGACAGCTGCTAGGCAGGTGGAGTATAGGAAGTATTGGGGCTTAGATATCTACCCAGTGAGGGTGGGGCTAAAACAAATGGCTCGGATCCTATCTGGGGGGACTTCTGGCCACATATCCTCTGGCTGTGCCCCTTAAACAATGAGGTGGGGGTTGGCACAAGGTGTCAGCAATGTTAGGGTACAGATGAAACATCTCATTCCAGATGATGTCTAACAGCAGCCAGCGTGCTTTCTAGGGGTCTCAAGGATACCTAAAAGTCTGGTGCCCCTATTGCTTAGAGCAAGGAAGACCTGAGGAGAAGGTAGTGTGTGTCACTTGGGCAAGCCAATAAATCATTGAACATCAACAGGAGTGCAGATATACACAACCAGCAGACCTGGAAGTATTTTCTGCAGCCAGGAGGTAACAGCTATGGTGGCTTTGCAGCACTTTTTCTAGGGCCCAATGTGAAGGCTTCCCTATTTAGAGAGACATACTCTTAGCTCTATTAAGGGAACAGAAATGAGTTCTTTAGCTGTTGGCCTTCCCCTGAGGAAGATGAGGCCATTGAGACTTGGGACCTAACTGTTCATTCAGATTAGCAAATATTGTTCTTTGTGCCTGCTTCTTAGCCTTTTTCTAATGAAGATTCCTTGTAAGGCCTCTAAGGACACCCTCCTTTGGAAAGCTGAGCACATCAGGACCCTCAGGACACTTGCCCATAGCATAGCAAGAAAAGGCAAAAAGTTCTTAAGATTGACTGCACATGAGAGTTTTCTTGTGTATCAATGATGGATTCAGTGGCTGACCACTTACAGAAGAGGAAGAAATGTTATTCTTGGGTACTGCTGTAATATATGGTCACCATCTGAATTCAACCTGCCCAGGGTGGAGCTATAACATCTATTAGGAAGTATTTAGCAACTACTACAAAGACCATAGGGTCCCTGGGGAAAATGACTCTCCTACTATTCATGTCTTGGTCTAGCTGTCCTTGAGGATGTTATAGGTTGACATGAGCCAAGAAGGGTTTGAAAACATTTGAGAAAGCATGTCTCAATGGTCTCAAATACCCTATGAAAGTGTAAGGTGACCTCTGACCTTTTCAGCCTACTTCAGCTAAGCAGGTGACTGAGAGAAACCCTGCATCAGATGGGTTAGGCTGCCAGCTGTTGAGTCATAGTTTGACTTGACCATATGCTAGACTAGGAAAGCCAGATGTATGGAGTCAGTGCACCATATCTGAACTTACAATTGTGAGTGACAGAGAGGTAGCCCCAGCCGTAGAATTCCTCAGGGTCAGGAATTTTGTATTCCCACACATTTTGGTTTACATTAAGAGACTATCTGGTCAGAGAGTGGATAAAGGCCTAAAGCAGCAGCACCTTGCTGAGTTCCAGGAATTCAAACATGACACTGTGACCAGTAATGGGAGATTATAACTATTGCCAACTCTCAATACCGCTCAATCATTGACACTCATCTCAGATCAAAAGCTGTTTCAAAATGAAGTTAAAAAGAAAACCACTCAGCAGGAAAGATGGCAAAGGAATAAGGCACCTCTGTTATCACAGAGTCCCAAATTCACCAGTACAGAAGTAAATTGCAGTTCACTGTATTCTTCCATTATGCCCTTAAATCTTTATCATAACCCCTAGCAAGCCTTTGAAAAGGAATCCATTGATGTCAATGTTTGTGTAATGATTTGTAGAATTGGACAAGCTCCTACCAAGTGAGAAGCACTGTTAATTGGTTCACCTCTTTGAAGGTCAATTGGCCAAATCATTTAACCTTTCACATGAGCATACCCTTTGTCCAGAGACTACCTCTTGAAAGTGATCGCACAGCCAAACTCCCACAGGAAAGTAGAAAGGAGAGGACAAAGAGGATAGCTGAGATTTCTTTTGCAAGGATGGCGGTGGGGAGGGGGCAAAACACCCGTTGTCCAAGTTCAACTACAGTTAAGTTCAGCTATAGTAGGTAGTCTTTTTAAGCCTTTGGAAAGATTGAAATCCATTCGCCAAGTCCTCAATAGGGGAGGTGACCACACCTCTGATTTAGGCAAGAAAATGCAAAATGTTGTAACGGGATCAAACCATTCTGGTTGGCTAACAACAAGGAAATTGAAAAGAAAAATGAAGTTTTTCTTTCTCTCTTAATTACATACATTATTAATTCAAGTTGAACACATAAACATATTGGTTCAGAAAAGTAAATAGGCAGAAAGGAAGTTATCTGGAAAGTTCCCCAGTCAAGCAACTAACAGTGTGTAATTTTCTGCAGTGATGTTTCTAATGACTTGCCTTCACGTTTTAACTTACACTTGTCCAAAGCCTTGAAATGTTGAAAAGGAGAAAAGCTTACATTTGCAAGTTTTTAAAAAATTCAAGAAACCAGCACCATCTCAATATATAATTAGGAAAAGAACATATTACAAGATGTATTTTTCTTTAAAACATACGCACACACTTCTACACACATGCAAGATTTAAAGGCTCTATTCTGAATTCTATTTCCAAATTTTACTTAACAGAAAATCCAGCTTTCTGAAGCACATTTAATGACATATGATGAGACTTATGTGATGTGAGACCTGAGAAAACTATGATAGAAAGAAGCAACTCAAGCTGCAAGGATATTCCTCATGTATCATGCAAGGATATTCCTCATGTATCATGTAAGTAAAAACTCACCAAATCCTGACAACCTGTCCACATGTGCCCACAATGTACAATTATATATTAAAAAGAGCAGAATGCAATATAACAAACATCAATGGAATATCAATTAAACTTATTAAGAATATTATTTCTTTACTGCTATATATTTGTTCCACTTACTGATTTTTTCCCAGATGCATATGATTCTTACGGTTTGATCAACAGTAAAAGAATGCTATGAGATTTAGCCATAAAAAACTATCTTGTTCCTCAAGAAAAGTTAATGCTATTGGAGAGTACTCATGGTCTAGAGTTGAGTTGAGAATTCAGGGCACCAAATTCTATGTGTAGTGGGACCAGTGAGGATGGATTTGAAGAAAAGAAATGGAAAAGTGTGTGTGTGTGTGTGTGTGTGTGTGTGTGTGTCTAGCATTGTGCTGAGGAATGTGGGGAGTATATTGATGAGATATAGACTAAATTTATTTCATTAAATAGCATCAGTTATTATTGAACAGTTATATATCATTTTTTAATGTTTAAACCAATATACTCATCAAGCTGCTAATAGTGGATGCCTCAAAAAAGTGGGATTTGTGATAAAGTGTTTCCATTTGTTCTTCATATATTGCGTATTCTAAGAGATTTTTCAAGAAGCTGATGATATATTTGTAATTTGAGAGTCAACCCAGAACAAATATGTGCAAAAGAAATTATTGGTGAAAACTTGATTTGTTGGCTATTTGAAACCTAATATATTTATATCTTTAACTGATCACAGAAAACAGGTGTATTCAGGACACCCATATTTTAAAAATCCTTATCCGCGTCAGTGGGCATTACCTGTGGCCTCACTGCACTTCTTTGTACAAGGCTAATGTATCTGGTTATTTTGTAAACATGTATGCTTAATTTTAGGAAATGCAAAAATTTAAGAAGCAACCTTAAAAATATTGCCTATTCCAAGGAGTAGTTAATGATGTTTCCAAATACCTCAAACTGTCATAAGTGAGAAAAGCATGTCTGACATACAAGGTAACTGGGATTTTAGGTTAAAAAATATACATTATATGTGGATAGGGAAGATATGAGAATGTATGGCAAAGACATTTTAAAAGTCATTTCTTCTAGTTTTCATTGAGATACCATTTATTTTTGGCTTTGTAATTTCTCAAAATATGAGCAGATTTCCAACAGCAGATGTTACCTTTATAATTCCTTCGAAGAGAAACTTCCTTGTAGAATAAAGTATAAAGAAATTTCCAGCTAGGGAAAATAGATGTTGATATACGGAAACATGCAATTTATGTAAGTTGTTGCAGAAGACTTTGTAGAAAACTATGCCCAGTATAAGTCAAGTTATAATTAAGGTGAAATAAATGTGCATATATATGTATAGCAATATTATGTGTTATATATATATAGCAATATTATATGTTATATATGCCATATTTAAACTATATAATAAATGGAGCAATAAGAAACATTTTTGTTTGTTTGTTTTTTGAGACGAAGTCTCGTTCTGTAGCCCAGGCTGGAGTGCAGCGGCGTGATCTCAGATCACCCCAACTTCCGCCTCCAGGTTCAAGCGATTCTTCTGCCTCAGCCTCCAGAGTAGCTGGGATTACAGCTGGGCGCCACTGCATCCAGCTAATTTTTTGTATTTTTAGTAGAGACGGGATTTCACCATGTTGGCCAGGCTGGTCTTGAACTCGCAACCTCAGGTAATCCGCCCGCCTCGGCCTCCCAAAGCGCTAGGATTACAGGCGTGAGCCACCGCGCCCAGCCAAGAAACATTTTTCTGCAATGCTTTCATTACTAAATATGAAGACAAAAATTTTATATAATGTGGCCAAACTGTCTTAGAATCAGGAGTGGCAATCTCCTAGGCAAACCATCATGTACAAACAACCAATTTTAATATACATTTATTGTCACATATGAACATAAATATAAAACTCTGTGTGTATTGAAAGGAGTAGGAGGACATGATCTAAAAAATTATCAGTGGTCTTAATCAGTTTTATGATAGTGCTTTACTCTTTATCAGTGCATGGTTATTTCTGAATCCTTGGCAAACATCATGTCTTAATTATTAATGAGGAAGTGATTTTAAGGCTTATCTCTAAGAGATAAATGGTAAATACAGATACAAAGATAAATACACACACACACACACACACACACACACACACACACGCACACACCCCTACATACCCAGTGAAGTGGTAGGAAGCAATTGGAGACCATTTAATGGCATCGGAAAGTGTCTTCGAATGGTAAATGAAATCACAAGACAAAACCCTTGGAATGAGAGCCATTTGGGCACTTCTCTTAAGACTCCAGCCAAATGGTTACCAACAAGTCAACACGTAAGACTTAGATATCTATCCTGAAAATATAGAATTCCTTGGGAGCCTTACAGATGGATGAGCCAGGCAAGGACATGTGGTTTGGTACTTAGAGAGAACCTCCCGGCCTTGAGTTTCTAGCATTTTCTTTTTCTGCTTAGGCCTGGATTCTTGAATCTTGAATCCAGAAGCAGAAGTTGGTAACTTGGGAAAATACTGGAGATGTAATGCTGAGTGAGCGAGAACACAACTGTGAAGGCTAAACCTATTGGAAATGTAGTTCTTAAAAAGAGAAGGCCTCAGTTTCGTTTCAAATGGAAACCAAAACAAAAGTACAGCAGCGTGATCAGATTGTCCCAAACTAGGCAAAAGTAAGGCTGCCATATTTCCTGGCGTCCTTTTCTTGCTGGCGTTTTTTTGGACAGAAAGGGCGGGAGAAGGACTAAGGAGCAGTACGTGTTGGTATATCTGGAGCATTACTGCCATCGTGAGGAAATAGTTTTAAAATGCCGTACGCCATTACAGCGTCCGTCCCGTGAGGTCTTTCGGTTTAGAAACGTCGGTTCAGCGGAGAGATTGAACAGGCCCTAACCCCAAATTGGGCTTCCCTGACTTCTCTGAGTTATTCCGGGATCTCTGGGCAAAGACTTGATGCTAATATGACAAAGGTGATATCCAGGTGTAAAAGCCTGTTGTTGGCGAGGCAGGACAGAGCCAACGGCTGCCAGAAGTCCGGGCACAGGAAGTTGTTGGGTGGGGCTTCCGTTGAGGATAACTTTCAGGGCCCAGTGAAGGGCTTGTGCCCATTGTCTCCTGTTCCTGTCCCTGCCCCTCAGAAGATGGCTCAGGTCGATTCACCTTGTTCCGGAGCCATAGAACCTGGGCTCCCTTTGATAGCAGCATCACAACTCATAAAATAGGCTAATTTGAGGAGATATAACAGCATTTGTGCTTGCTGGGGGATCTCATACACAGCAAAAGTCTGGAGCCCATTGCCTTAGAGCAAGGAGGGAAATGAAGAAACACTGGGAGCCATCCTGCCAAGCCAAAAAAGGCCAACTCTCCTGCTTAGAGAGCAGAGGCATACACAAAGAGGCCAAAAAATGTTATGCTTATAGCCAAGGCCTGTCCCCTAATAGAGTTTTGCCATCATCTCAGATCTCTTGGTGGGGTTGGTGGGGAGGAAGGGAGGAGTGCTCATCTCTTTATTTGTTCTCCCAGAGGATGCTGAACTCCTTGAAGTCTAGGAGTACATAACAATTGTTCTTCTCTGTTACTTCTTCATAAAAAGCTCCAGTTGAGCATACCTGGTAAGCCTGATAACCCATACTTCTTGCTCCCAAGTTGATGGAGAACGTCTAGAATTACTTGGGATTCATTGCATAATGGAGAAACATTCTGGCCCCCTCTTCTACTTTCCTCACTCAGTTAGCATTTGACCTCATAGAGTAGTTGAAGATGATTTTTTGTACGTGTGTTTGCGTGTAAGCGTCCTGTGACTAAAAAATGTAAAACTTTCTTTTCTGTCGTATTTAAACCAATGGCAAAATTGGTAAAGGAATTAAACAGGCAATTTACAAAAGAAGAACTCCAGCTGTTTATTAAATAAATGAAAAGATACTCAATTTTACTACTGTTTATGACATTCCAATTATCTATACACATTGTGTTTATGTATGTATTGTGTTAGTTTATAAATATATGCACCAATATTTGCACATATTCCTATATCTATGCATACATGCCTGTTATATATATATTTATATGTACTATGTATATACGCATGCACATTAAGTTATATACAATTTTTACAAATATAGAGGTATATATAAAGACATGTATGTGTAAATGTGTGTGTGCACAATTAAAATAATTCTATTCACTCAAATATTATATTCAATTACATATCAATTATTTCAGTTAAATATTAATAACTGATATAGTAAATAAATACAACTGAATTATATTAAGTTAAATATTAAATAATTCTATTCAGTTAAATGATTCTATTCAATTAAATATCCTATTTAATATTCTTTTATCCCCAAGACTTAGAACAGTGCCCAGAACTTGGCAGGAACTAGATAAATATTGATTAAAGGAATGTATGATTTCCTCTACATATTGAGAGATCTGAGATGGTAAACACCAAAGTGCAAATAGTAGTAACTGTACTACCATATACTGTTTATGAATGGATGCTCATGTCTTTTTTTTTAAAAACATTTTTCACGTTTTTTAAAAAAGGATGCTTTATAAAAGATAAGAAACATCTATTGTTTTAATATATTTAAAAATACAATTCAGATTATAAAGTATCATCAATAGTAAGAGTCTTTTTTTTTTTTTTTTTTTTTTTTTTGAGACAGAGTCTTGTTCTCTTGCCCAGGCTGGAGTGCAGTGGCGTGTCTTGGCCCACTGTAACCTCCGCCTCCCAGGTTCAAGCAATCCTCCCACCTCAGCTTCCAAAGTAGCTGGGATTACAGACATGTGCCACCGTGCCTGGCTAATTTTTTTTTCTTTTCTTTTTTAGATGGAGTCTCGCTCCATCGCCAGGCTGGAGTGCAGTGGCGCGATCTCGGCTCACTGCAACCTCCACCTCCCAGGTTCAAGCGATTCTGCTGCCTCAGCCTCCAGAGTAGCTGGAACTACAGGCGTGTGCCACCACA